AATATAAATGAATAAGAACAAGGTGCAGTTCTGGGCCGCTAAAACCCTGGGGCCCGGGACAACAGAGTCCTTTGTCCCCCCCGTCTACTGTCCTGCTGGTACATGGTAATATGTGAAAAACTTGATGTGCATTCACAGAACAACAAGAAAAGCTCCAACCAGCCAACAGCTCTTATTTCAGTCTTTTTTGGGGGGGCAATTTTGCTAGCCAGGCTGGTGCTACCGAGTGCCTATGCTCAATTTAATTTCTCTCCAGCGACTAGGTCAGGAATTGGAATACACTAGACGACTTGCAAGAACCCCAGAAGTGCAAGTTTGGGCACTTCCCAATCAACGAAAAGCCATACATTCGGTGTTGGCAACGATTCCCGAGATTGAGGATTTAAAGCCAGAACTGGATGGTAGACCACTGGGAAAATCAGGTGCTACAGTGGGGCGCCAGTTGTAAAAAACTGTTGTTGTGTCCTTAGGCAAGGCACTTCATCCACATTGTCTAGTATTAAAGTGGTGTGTGCGTGAGGGATGGTGGCGGTCGGAAGGGCCGATGGCGCAGAAAGGCACCCTCACTTCAGTCAGTCTACCCCAGGTCAGCTGTGGCTACAATAGTAGTTTACCACCACCGGGTATGGAGTGAATGAATCATGCTTTGTAAAGTGTCTTTGAGTATTCAGAAAAGCGCTGTATAAAACTGATGCATTAGTATTATTATTAACAAAGAGAATGTTTGGTGAATTTTATCAAGGGGAAAGACGTTATTGCCCTTCTTCCTACGGGATTTGGGAAAAGCTTAATATAGCAGTTAACCCCATTAGTGGTGCATTACATACAGGCCAAATAGCAGTGATTGGTTAAATTAAAACAAGTACCCAAACAAATTCTAATGCTGTGAGGTCAGACGGTTTCCCCGAAGTGAAACCTGCTGATGAGTCAGGCTAGAATTCTGCTGGATGCGTTTAAAATGTGAACTTTGAACAGAATCTTATTAAAGCATAAATTGTTTTCCCAAATTGTGCAGCCCTATTTCTTGAAGTTAGGAGAGAACTTGCTGCCTATCCTGTCGCACAACTTGACAGGTTAGCAATTAGAATCCAATATCGTTCCAAATCAAAATGTCTGGACACTCTGACTTTGTCTTTATATAAACACTGCGAAACTAAGTAACACAAACTCACCATTTATTGTTTCCGAGACCCCAGACCGTTTTAATAGAGCACTTGAAATTGGATTAATTCAAAAATAGTCCTGGGGGTCATTCTAATTACAGAGACTTTGTAATTTGTTTGTAATCACCATGGCGTTTTGTTGTGGGTCAGTGGGTTTATCTGAACTTGAATCACACTCGCATAAAGTAATAATAAAGTTCTATTGAGACCCACAGCCCCCCCTACCTGTGTCTGTGTGACATTACAGGCCTGGCTCATACTAACAAGGGACAATATGACTATGTATTATATTATAAAACCAGTGTCTGCTAATGAGGACAGTGAGACATGTCAAACTCAAATAGAAAATCAAACTCATTATTCATCGGTCATTGACAAGTGGAGTAGTGAATCATATAACAGAAAGTCAATGATAATTAAAGTTTTTTTTATATATACCACAAAAAAGGGTATTACGCAAACTTGACTTTTTGGAGTTTTCTACCATATTATAATGTTGTTCCATCATAAAATCACGCTGGAAGAGGTTTTAGATATCATCTGTGCATGTTTGAGTAATCTAGTGATCTCTCTCGGGCCCTCAGAGTAAGCAGTACGATTCTATCCACGACAATTTTCCATAAAAATACAAAAGCATGACGCCAAACAATACCTACAACTTCACAAACCTGATGCGATGTGGAGTACAGTCGTCCTTCGCTATATCGCAGTTCACCTTTTGCGGTCTCGCTGTTTCGTGGATTTTTTTGTATGCAGATTTGCATGCCTTTAATTTACAGTGTATGATCGCGTATTGCCTTCCTCCCGTTGCGTCCTGATTGGCTAAGGGACTCCTGTCTCCAGTACTGTACAATACAGATGTGTTCAGCTGCCAAATGAACATAAATGTTGGATCTCTAGCAGTGTGATTCTGAAGTGCTGTATGTTTGCAAGTTTTCACCCTGACCAAACCCACAATGTCGACAAAATGTGCCAACAAAGGCTCCTGTAGTCGCAACCAAAAGGCAGAGGAAGATGCAAACCATCGCACAAAAAGTTGGACTTCTGAACATGCTGAAGGAAGGGAGAAGTTACGCGCTGTAGCAGAGTCTTGCTACAGCGCGGGTCGAGTTAAGTGAGACAACCGCGACCTCCCGCAGTAGGGGGTCCGTAAAGCTCGATCAGGCAAAGGACACATTTACCTCTGTGAGGTGTGGAGCTGAGCCTGCCCTTTCTCCTGTGGTCACCTCCGAGCCCGTCCTGACAGTGAGTCCTGTTTCAGTTCTGTTTTAGTCCTGGTTTACTGCTGTTTTAGTCCTAGATCAGTCCTGGTTTATTCCTCCTCTTCAGTCCTGGAATCAGTCCTGGGTTAGTCCTAGTTTAGTCTTGATTCAATCCATGTCATATGCAGTGCAAAAGTTTGATATAATCTCGGGTTAACGGGCAGGTGCAGTGGTTTACTGTAGTGTTGTAATACGCTGGTGCGGGCTCAAAAAATGGACCCGTGCAGGACTCTGCGCTGGAGGGCTCCATTATGGAATAAATGAATCTTCAGTTCGTTACATAAAGGAGGAGGAAAATAACAAAAGGACGACAGCAGTAACAAGTTTTAAGAAGGATGCAAAAAGGGTTGCACCTGTCCTGGGTGAGAAAAGTTTATAAAGTGTGTGGTTTTACAGCCTTAAAACAGATATAATAATTGTAAAATATAAAGTTGACTACTTCTCAGATTTTACATATCGCAAGTTATTTTTAAAGGTAATCCCCGCGATAAACGAGGAACTACTGTAATTTCATTAGCAAAATATGACAGAGCTCTGAAGGGGGAGTGGCTTAGCAGAGGGCAAAGTGAGGAAAGAACGAAAATGAAATTTACAAAACATGTTCATGTTGTTTTCAGTAAATATAGCATTTTTGAAACAACAAAGGTAAGTAATAGGTAAGCTGTTAATACCTCATAAAAGTAAAAAAAAATAAAAAAAATAAAAAATAAAGATACACTGTGTAACTTTTCTGGTGGCTGTTCTTGCTTTGCTTTAAAGCGTTATTGTGTTTCTTCATAAAGATAAAATTTTAGGGTATAAAGATTCTTATTTAGGTATATGACAGAAAAGTTAGAAAAGTATGTGAACTTAAGGATCCAACAGCCAGCTTGAAAGTTACCTACTGCTACTTCAACAGAACTCTGGACAAATTGGAAGGTTGGGGTTAATGAAAGTACTTATGGAAAAGGAATAACTTCCATTTTTACATCTATTCCCGTCCAATTGCGTAGCCGAGAAGCCTGCATGTATACGCGTCACCATGGTTACCGAATGACACGTCCCCTCCTATGGCTGACTCTGGATGAGTACATGACAGTTGGGCTGGTCAGCAGATGGAGGGAGTTTGATAGCTGCCTCTCCAAATGTCACACACACACACAGACAACCACACACACACGTACATAGTGCCACTGAACGCCTCCTCCATGTTGTTGTTGTTGTTTCTGCTCTGATGAGCGAAGAGGATATGACATCGCCGTGTGACAGGAAATGAGAGTGCTGGATCTCATTTTCAGACAGGCCGTAGCAGAGGGGAGGGGCTGTGGAGGGGGTGGGTGAGGGCCGGTTTCAACACTGTATCTGGTATTCTTGACAAAGCGCAGGGTCCGCCACCTTCTTAGAATGTTCCAGAATTCCATCAAAGGGCCCCTATCACGCTATTTACTTCATTATAATTTTGTTTCTTTGTCAAAAACATACATAGAGTTGTGTTTTATTTCATTCATACATGTTTAACACACAAACTCTGCATTTTTAGGCTGAGTTCTTCTCTCGAGCAGGAAACACTCTGTTCCACCTTGTGATGTCATGAGGTAATATAAGAATATACAACTTTACTAGGGGTGTAACAGTACACAAAAATCATGGTTCAGTACGTACCTCGATTTTGAGGTCACGGTTCAGTTCCTTTTCGGTACAGTATAGGAACAAAATGCAAAACCATTTGCTTGTTGTTTATTTGTGTGTTTATTGAACCAACTATTTGTTTTAACATTATACAAATGGGAAAATAAAATAAATGCAATGTGCTGCTTGGTAATACCAAGAAGTTAAACAAAATATTCTGAAATAAGCAACAAATGTATGAAATATTATAAAAAATTAATTCCTTGTAAACTGTAAACAAAACTTTTCAGAAAGTAAAGCGCAGCACCAACAGTTCCAGCATGAAGTTTTACTTTTTACTTCCATGTAGCTGCACATGTAGTGACAGAATATAAACACACATACATTGCACGAATTCACTTGTGCACAGCTCTGCATCAAACCGAATGTCCCGTACCAAAACAGTTTGGCATGAATACATGTACAGTTACACCTCTAACCTTTGCTACAATCATTTGGATCATTTCAGCCTTGGAAGAACCAATCTCTACTACACAAAGGGAAACAGTAGCTGTTAACTTGAAAACTACCACTTCATGACATCACAAGGTGGAACATTTTGTGCTTTGGAGATGTAGACAGACTAATAATAAAGGATTACATACGTGATGAAACACAAAACATCTCCAGGTATGACTATGAGAAGGTAACAACATTATAACATGATTTAAAGCTCACAAGAGTACATTTAGCATAGACTTTTAAAGTCTTTGATCTTCTTGAAAACAAGCAGGTGATGCCAACTGTCAGATCTGTGGAGACGGGATCCTACTGTCTCCACAGTAGTATCTATTTTATCTTTATCTTATTATCTACTAAACAGAATCTGATCACTGCTGAGCTTGTTTTGACTACAGTCGCAGCAGCACACAGCCTGTTCTCTTCCTTAGTGTTATTACAGTGTGAGGTGCTTGAACTGTGCACTCACTGGCAGAAGGGCAGCAGGGTGAGCAGGGTTTCTTTGGTGGGGCGTGTGCTGAACTCCGGCAGAGTCTGCACCACTTTGTTCATCACCATCCTCAGGTAACACTGCAGCTGCTTCCTCCGCTCCTCCACGAACTTTGCATCCTGCAAACAAACACACACAGAAAGAAGATGAAAAAGACCGTTTAGCTGTATATATATATATATATATATATATATATATATATATATATATATATATATATATATATATATATATATATATATTTTTTTTTTTTTTGCCAATGCCAAGCTAAAATTCATCTTAGTACAGATATATTATAAAAAAAGCTCTTGAGGTTAAACACTGCTAGCCTGATTCATCAGCCGGTTTCACTTTGTGGAAATCGTCTGACCTCACAGCATTAGGATTCGTTCGCTCGACAGTAAGGAGGGTACTTTTTTTATTTAACCAATCACTGCTATTTGGTCGTGATGTATGTAATGCACCAAATCCCAGAGGAAGAAGGGCAATAACATCTTTCCCCTTGATAAAATTCACCAAACATTCTCTTTGTTCCTGCTTTAAATTCTCAATCTCATGAATTGTTGCCAACACTGAATGTCTGTCTTTGTCTACATCCATCTCGACCTCTTTGTTTACTGTCGTGCTGTACCACAAAATGGACCCAGACAGGTGCTTGGGTTTCACGTCATGGCTTCACAGCTCTTCACTGATTGGCCGGTGTGTGGTCTACAACTTCCGGGGTTCTTGCAAACTGTCTAGTGTATTCTGATTCCTGACCTAGCCTGGCTAAAAGACCACTGTGTACTCTCTGCATTAAATTAAAATTTGTAAAATGTGCTTATGTACTCATCGCAGGGAATTATTAGGATGATCAGAAAGCATAAGGATTTGTTGTGGGTTTTTTGTATGCAAGCTTCGTGGATCAGTGAATATCAAAGTTGTCAAACAGCACTTAAAGCCACATGTGTAACTTTTTGCCCCAAAATAATCTAAAATAAAAGCATGTTTATTCAATATGTTATTTTGTATTGCATTGAAAAGCACAGAAAAACATCCTTACTCTGTGGGCTACCAGAAACTCTGACTTATTTAGGCCTCATGTTTGTTCTTTTGCCTATAATCTTCCACAGTATGACATAAAACTTATCTATCTCCATAGAGAATGTTTCAAAGTATAGTTTTAGGAGTTTTTATTACTCAAAACTTTATTACTCAAACGTGTATTCTTCTTCACAGATCTGACCTGTAGCTTAACCTGATGATGTAGATAAAATTAAATATCATACTGTAGAACATTTCAGGAAAAAAAACAATAATATATACATGGAGCCAAGCAGGTGACGGACACAGACTCTCTACCAGAAAAGTTACGCAGTGCACCTTTAATGACCTTATAAAGTCCAGTTACCACCAGGATGAGATGAGGTGAAATCTGAACTAAACAAAATCCAGATTGTTTAGTCCAAATTGCAAAGTCTAAACCAGAAGGAGAACCACTACGAATAAATATGGTGTCTTACTAAAATAAAGAAAGGTAGTTTTTAAAATTCTACCCTGAGATCAGACTTGTAATTGGGATTGCTATTTTATTACATTACGCAAAACTTTGCCGAGCCGATATGGAAAACTTGGGACCACTGGGAAATAAACCTAAAATAGTCTGAACACACTCCTCTTACGCTAATGCAAATAAAATGAAGTGAACCCGTAGAGAGGAAAACATGAATTCTGCTACTAATATTGAAAACACAAGTCTCCATGACAACGGCAATCATGTTAAATTATACATTTATCAGTTTTCAACAGAGCAAACAGAAATAAGTGAAAATGCATTTGAACCAATCACTTTCAATTTGGAGTCGAGACAGAAGAAAAAAACTCTTAATTTAAATCCACCAGACTTTTTTTCTTGTTTTAAAAATGACAAATTACAAGGTGTCTAGTATTAAAGAGGGAGTATTACACTTCTGTGGCGTATTTATTTCTATCACGTAATATATTTAGATCATGAAAATGCAATATTCATCGTAAACGCACAGTAAAGTCACTCCCCTTCAGACTCACAATGAAACTTCTGCACTTGTTGAGGTAGATTTATAGGCTAAACATTAAGGAGGGTTCGAATAGGGCCCGGGAGAGATCGCAAAATTACTCAAACATGCATAGATGGCAACTAAAACATCTTGAGGTGTGATTGGATGAGGTAATAATGTTATAACATGGTAGAAATCTCGATTTCCAAATCCAAATCCACTTTATTTCTATAGCACATTTTACAAACAAAGTCGTTTCCAAAGTGTCGCACAGAGATCATAAAACGAAGATAACAAAAAGGTAAATTGCTAAAATTTGGTCATACCAGTCCTAAAACAATAAAACTAGTAAAAGCAAATAAAAGCAAAACCATAAAAATCATAAAAGAGCAGTAAATAAGTAAAATAAATAAAAGACACAGAGGACCACACAACTCACGCAGAGAAGCAAGAGAATAAAAGTGGGAGATTTAAAACACTCCACTGTGGGGGCTGTATGAACATGGGGGGGCACGTGAGGATGTTGCAGAATGACCCCTCTTTAAAGTGGACTGTAATGTAATGTATCTCCATATCCTTCCTTCTATAAGTGGAGGAGTTCAAGTATCTTGGGGTCTTGTTCACGAGTGAGGGAAGGATGGAGTTTGAGATTGACAGGCTGATCGGTGCAGCGTAGGCAGTGATGCAGTCGCTGTACAAGCCATTGTGGTGAGATGAGCCAAAAGGCGAAGCTCTCGATTTACCGGTCAGTCTTCGTTCCTACTCTCACCTATGGTCATGAGCTCTGGGTAATGATTGAAAGAACGAGATCACGGATACAAAATGAGTTTCCTCCGCAGGGTGTCTCGGTGCTCCTTTAGAGATAGGGTGAGGAGCTCAGTCACACGGGAGGAGCCAGTTGAGGTGGTTCAGGCATCTGTTCCGGGTGCCTCCTGGGCGTCTTCCTCAGGAGCTGTTCCAGGCATGTCCCACCAGAAGGAAGCACCAGGAAAGACCCAGGACACACTGGAGGGACTGTGTCTGGGCTGGCCTGGGAACACCTCAGGGTCTTCCCGGAGGAGCTGGAGGACGTGTCTGGGGTGAAGGAAGTCTGGGAGTCCCTGCTTAGTCTGCTGCCCCCGCGACCCGGCCCCGGATAAGCGGAATCATGATAAGAATACAAACATAAAATCTTAAATAGCAAAAATAATAACTATAAAAATACATCCATATTATGATATTTTCTGATCTATATGTTATGTATATGTTATGTTGTTTCCTCATCAAGAACATACCTGGAGTTATGCTTTGTTTCATTCACACATGTTTGAAGTTCTTCTCTCAAACAGAAAACACTCTGTTCCATCTTGTGATGTGGTAACACAGGAAGTGTCCCAGTGTGTTTTTAAACTCTCCACTCATCTCTCATCAAACATCTCCACTGAACAAAAGGCAAAACGTAGCTGTTAACTTGAAAACTACCACTCCATGACATCACAAGGTGCTTTTTGAGCTTTGCAGATGTAGACACACTAATAATGCAGGATTACTTAAACGTGTGAATGAAACAAAACACTAATCTGGGTATGTTTTTGCTGAGGTAACAGCATTACAACACGACTCAACACTCACAACAGTCAATTTTGCGTAGTATAGGACCTTTAAGAACATTTGAAGTAGTGACATATTTGAAAGTTAATACAATATCTACTATGTCTAATTGAGTTGTATCATATTTAACCATTTCTGACCTATAATTTTCACCTACAACTTTTAACCAATACACGTTTTTCTCCAGCAACATGCATTTTCTCGATTGACCTTAACTCAGGGAAGACATGAAATCATAAAAGACACATGCATTTGTCCACAGTCCCTACTGATGAGACACACCATTAGCCTGTGCAGTAGTGTACTCTGCAGTATTGTGAGGATGGACTAAATAAGCCCCTCTAATGAAGTACTGCAGAAAATAACCAGCCTGAGTCACATCTATGAGATCATGGGCAGACAGATGGAGAGGCAACCCGAGCTCAGATCACAGTACTAGACCAATGCACTTACTCGTTAGCATGCTAATGTATCAAACCCAAATGCTTTATAATAACTACACTTTTAATAATGACAAATAGTTTATTAAAGGTCCAAAATTGGCTCCTGTGAGTTTTAAGCCACGTTATAAAATGACCTCATGAAAAACATACTTGGAGTTGTGTTTTGTTTCATTCACACATGAGTAATCCTTTATTTTATCCTTTATCTGTCCACATCTCCAAAGCTCAAAATGCTCTGCTCCACCTTATGATGTCATGCAGTGGTAGTTTTCAAGTTAACAGCTACCTTTTACCTTTTTAATAGAAATGGACAATTTCAGGACTGAAAGGTCTGTGTACCATTTGTTCTGTTGAATTTCAATTAATAATGAAAAACAATAAAAAGGGAAAACAGTTATTTCATTATTCCATTTTAGTGTCAGACAAAAAACAGATTTTCAATGTTTCATTTATAGTTTATTTCAAATAACACTAATCCAAAAAAAAGTCATCACACCTATTTCAATTTAGATATTTTATTCTCTCTGGTTTATTTGCCTCAGAAGTTCTGCTGTTTGGCGCGACGCATGTGAATTAAGTGTCAACTGAACAAAGGAGAGTTTATCGCTGCTACCTGTTTCTCGTCATGGAGTTCAGTTTTGGAGTTGAAGTTCAACAATTACTTTCTAAGAGGTGAAAGTAAATGTGTCGCTGTAGAAGAAGAGGGCACATTTGTCCACAAAATGAGCCCATTACAGCTCTTTCTAACTCTGCATCAGTAACCAATCCTCTATGTCTTAGGTTGTGTTTTTCACAAAATCTTTGAATACTCATTTCTGAGCACATCTTAATTCCATTTTGCTTCAGTGTGGTGGAAATTTCTGCATGTGTCTTTCCTGCTTCAAACTACTCTTTGATGTATTTAGCATGGATCTCGATGGCAGCCACGGCCTATAACATCCACCGATACAGACTGATGCATCCAAAAACTTAAAAATATCTGCTAGGCAACATAGCAGCAGAACTTCCAGGGCAAATAAACCAGAGAGAATAAAATATCAGAATTGAAATAGACACAATGTTTTTTGTTTG